TCACAATACACTAGAGAAAATAAAGAAAGAACCATGGAGGAGTAGACCCTTGTTTCACAGAGTGTTTGGCTAGCTGGTTACGTAAAGCTGATGGTGTGGAGACTCCAACAATAGATACACTGATAGCTGCTCTTAGAGGAATAGGAGAGAATGCTGTAGCTGATGGTATTGACACAGAAAAACAAAGTGAGATGCTTTGCTTTAAATAATCATTTTTTATTAATTGCTTTTATTTTACTTAGATCTATTTATTGCTATGTCAAGAAGTGACGTTTCATTAGCCACACCCCAAACACTGCCTACAACTGAAAGTGAGCCAGTATACTAGAGGTGGGCGATACGATACCAAAGTACTCATATATCCGATACCAGGCCTCCGATACCAAGTACTCGATACCAAATCCTGGTATCAAGTAGTGAGTAACCATGCCCCACCATACCTATTTCATTACGTCATAATTATGGCCTCATCTCTTAATAATTACAAAATGGCGGCTTATTTCCCTTCATTTTTATTAATAACTAATTATAACTTAATTGTGCGTGCGCAGTAGCTGACTTCTCATTCACTACTCGATACCATCGATACTGAGACTCAGACTACTTGGTATCGGTATTGATTCAAAATTTCTGGTATCGCCCACCTCTACAGTATACATAACCTGCGCGTTAGTTCACACTTCCTTTGAAGTAAAGTATGAATACCATTAAATTGTGATTAAATGTAGGCGTAGAAATCTTCACCCACTCAAGTACCACACCCCTTGGTTGGCAGAAAGCTACATCGAAGGAATGGAGATCAAGGAAAATTTCCAAAATAAGAAGGAAAGAAGTAGTTTATAGCAGCAAAGAGGCTCCTCGCTGATTCATTGGTGTGTATAGCAGAAGTAGCGGCTCTAATTTAAAGAATAGATGTAAGAAGAACTGCTCATTTGCTTTTTAATGCTTTTCTTCCATTCGTTTGTACTGCATTCTGCCAACCAGGGGAGTGGCTTTAGTCAGGCTCCACCTTAGCTAATGTGGCTTCAGGCCTTTGATCTGAAGGTGAGAGGTAATGCACAGGTTATGTATAGCATTGTCTGATATAGATGATGCATGTTGTAGAGGAGATGCAATCTTTTCTTACTTGCTTTAAAATATTATGAATTGAAATATATACTGTATTGCCTGATTACAAGCCCAGCTCAAATAAACATGCATCCCTAAAATGTTATGGCTGTATATATAACCCAGTTGTTTAGATTGTTTCAAATAACCTAACTTTTGAAGTGCAATGTTTTATGATTATCACAAGGTCACTGGTTTAATTTTTGTTTTGTCATTTTTTTATTATATTATAGTAACTATAGCTTATGTATTGTTGTAGGTGTTCGTAAACTTGAGCGCATAGTTGATCAAGTTGATGATTTGCAAGACACTGCTAATGAATTACATGGAAAATATGTTTCGCTTGCTCTTGCAGTGAGAAAGTCACTTGAAAGTCATTCCATTGATGTAGAAGATGCAAAGTTTTTGATAAAGGAATGTTTAAAGAGAAAAGCTAGTGTTGTTCCTGAATTAATGCCCTGCATTGATATTCTCAAGAAGGTCAATGATTTTAAAAGCTTTTTTGATTTTCTAAGTGATTATGATTTCATTGGTTACCTCAATTACAAGCTATTGAAGAAACTCATTATTGAATTTGCTAAGAATGATGATGAGATTAACCGGCATTTACTTGAATATGAAAAAGAATATGCTAAATTGTTGAGTGCAGCTTCCTTTAATGATTTGATACCTTTATTTGAAAAACAATCTGATCTATCTCCTACTGCTCCTCTTGGCTTACCTTACATTTCTTTTCGTCTTGAGAAGCCTTGGTTACTCACTTGTGTTTATACATGGGTATCGACCTTTGGTGAATTCTCATGGTCATCTGATGCGATTCTAAAACAATTAAGGAAGAACTGTATTATCATCACTTATGCTATACTGCCATGTGTTCTTGATGATGTCATGAGAGATCTCAAGGATCTAGTGATATTGAAAAAGCTAGAGGACAATGATATTAGAGTAGTTGAATTACCACAAGAAGAGGGAGGTAAGATGGTGCAGTATACAAAATTATAATACTTTTACTACATGTACATGTATATTAGCTTTTATTAGTTTATACAATTATTTTTTCATTTTTATGTTTTCGGACCCACAGATTGAATCCACTGCCGCTAAAATAGAACCAGTACGTCAGTATAATAATTAATTTTCTTTGATAAATTTTCTTTGAAAAGAAGGTTGATGCTTCTTCAATCATGCAGACCACATCATTGGAGGGAAAAATTTCCACCACAAGCACTACTTTGGTAGGTATAGCACATTTACAGGTACTGTAAATTATGCATACACATATCTATCATACAATGTATAGTGGAAAATTTGTTTTGCAAATCTATTAAAAAGTCAATTTTGTGGCCTTTAATTTTTGTAATTTTCTACTTTTCAGCCATCTTGAACCTTATTAAAACAATTTTTGTGGATTTTATTTTTATGAATTTTGAAATATTACAAAATCCATAAAATTATTTGCCATGGAAATTTTTTGCTATGCAGTAGTGTTAAAGGAATGTAATTTACATGTAGTTATTAAACTA